AAAAAAAGGAGAAAGAAAAATGTTCCAAAAATAAAAAGGAAAAAAGAAAAAAGAAAAGAAAAAGAAAAAAGCAAAAATGTCAAAATTATAATCCACCAAATTCTGTTCTAGGAAATTTCTTAATTTTCAATTCTTCTAAGACAGCTTGTTATAGTTCCAAAGCACGCAGTGTTTATAATCCAGGGAAGTCAGATGGCGCCAAATACTATTTGTTTATAGATATAATCTTATAAAGCCAGGTAAACCAAAAGAAAATCTTTTCTCCAGCAAAGTTTCAAGGACTTCCAAATAAACAATGTCTGGGCATGCAGCCAAAATTCTAATCTAAATAAGCTCCAGTCAAGAGAAAGTGGACATAGTTCTCAATGTAACCACAAGGTGACACTAAGTATCCATTCCCAGCACGTTTAAAAGGGGAAAAAAAGAGGAAAAAAATGGTCAAAAGTAAAAGTTTAAAAAGTTTAAAAAGTAAAAATTGCAGTGGCTTTTCAACAAAGAACAAAGACAAAAAATCTCTATAAAAGCAGGAGCTTCCAAAATTTATCTTATGCCTCAGACAGCTTTAAAATATAGAAAGTTTTTAAGTTGCCAAAAGGCTTAAACCGCCGCTTGAATTCAGGAGGGAGGGAAGGAAAGGAAAAATTCCACCTCTTCCCTAAAAGTAAAGGCTTCGCTCTCAAGCTGTAAAAGATCTATTTGCCAAATAGGAATCCACTTCTAGTGAGAAAGGAAAAAGTATTCTGACCCAGCTCAGCTATTTGCTGCTGCTCTAAGCTTCTTCTTTGTCTCAGACGATCAGCTGGTAATGGTGGACCGCATAAATGCAGTCCGCCTTTCTTCTGCCGATTCTGAGGGCTTCTTCGGATCCAGTGAGCCGTCTACCACTGACCCGCGGTCTTCGAAGCTTCACCCCTTGGTAGCCACCTCTTCGGGGCGACTTTTAGTCCAATTGGACCCACTGTCAGGCAAAAATTGGACCCGGGTCTATTCTTCCCCCGGGTTTATTCTTCAGCAACATCACCGGACATCACCCTACAACTTCTCTGTGCTACTCAGAAATTTCAAAGAGCCAAAAGAAACTCCTGAGCCGAGGTTTCAGCAAAGAAAACAACTTTATTTTGGCCAAGACAGAGTTGGGTAACCTTCTCCCTCTTCGTGGCTGCTTAGAGGAACAAAGGCACACCCAGTAGAGTTTTCTTCTACCTTTTATACTTTTTCAAAACAAAGAGATCCAAGTCCCTGTACCAGGAGCAAGGAAGCACAGAAAAACAAATTGCAGGATGATGACTCATACACATCAATCCAGGCTAACTCACCTTCCCCCTCCCTANAAAATTTATATAAAATAGCTACAAAATAACACTACTAATGTCAAGCTTAAGCATAATAAAATCATAAGCACAAATAAGGTCCTTTCAATTTCATACTATTTTTTCCCACACCTCCTCTTGACACTACTAAAATTATTTGTCTTACATTCAGAACCTCTCATCACCTCTGCATCCTTCAGTATTTGTCTTTTATCAGAAACAATTAAATCAACTACGCTTTTAGATCCCTTCTTTTAGTATATGTAGGCAAGGATAAATTTATTATATGTTTAAAACAACATTTAAAGCACATAAACATTTTTTCTAAGGAGATTTTTTTCCCATCCCCCCCCCTAGCTCTTTCCCCACCCCTGCTGCTTTCTTCCTCTTCCCACCCTGTGTCTCACCCTGAGAACCCGGATTTTTCTTGAGTCCCATCCTGAGAATGCAATATTTCTTTAATATAACATATAAGCTGTAGAATTCAACTGAAAAACAAACTGAAGTTTTCAGATTGTTTTTCAATTGAAAATATATATTTTAGGGAAAATGTACAATAATGTGGTTGCATAAGTTTGCACTCCCTTCAACTAATACTTTGTTGAAGTACCTTTTGATTTTATGACAGACTTTTGGGTTAGGAGCTTATCAGCATGACACATCTTGCCATGGGAATCTTTACCCACTTTTCCTTGCACAAGTGCTCCAAATCTGTCAGATTGTGACGGCATCTCCTGTGCACAGCCCTGTTCATATTACCAGACAGATTTTCAATTGGATTCAGGCTGGGGCTATGGCTGAGCCATTCCAAAACTTTGATCTTATTCTGGGGAAGCCATTCTTTTGTTGATTTGGAAGTATGTCTTGGGTTGTTGTGTTGAAAGATGAAATTCTGCTTCATCTTCAGCATTTTAGCAGGGGCCTGAAGGTTTTGTGCCAAGATTCACTGATATTTGGAACTGTTTATAATTCCCTCCACTTTGATTAAGGCCTCAGTTCCAGTTGAAGAAAAGCAGTCCCAAAGGATAAGGCTGCCATCACATGCTTCACCGTGGGTATGGTGTACTTTTGGTGCTGTTTCTGTGTAAAACATACTTTTTGGAATTATGGCAAAAAAGTCCAACCTTGTCCCATCAGACCACAGCACATTTTCTCACATACTTTTGTCAGTTGGGTAACCTTCTCCCTCTTCGTGGCTGCTTAGAGGAACAAAGGCACACCCAGTAGAGTTTTCTTCTACCTTTTATACTTTTTCAAAACAAAGAGATCCAAGTCCCTGTACCAGGAGCAAGGAAGCACAGAAAAACAAATTGCAGGATGATGACTCATACACATCAATCCAGGCTAACTCACCTTCCCCCTCCCTANAAAATTTATATAAAATAGCTACAAAATAACACTACTAATGTCAAGCTTAAGCATAATAAAATCATAAGCACAAATAAGGTCCTTTCAATTTCATACTATTTTTTCCCACACCTCCTCTTGACACTACTAAAATTATTTGTCTTACATTCAGAACCTCTCATCACCTCTGCATCCTTCAGTATTTGTCTTTTATCAGAAAGTATTTGTCTTTTATCAGAAAGTATTTGTCTTTTATCAGCACATTTTCTCACATACTTTTGTCAGATGTAATGTATGCTTTTGCAAAATGTAGCTGGGCTTCATTGTTTTTCTTTTAAGAATAACCTTCCATCTTGCCACTCTACCACACAGCCCAGACATATGAAAAATATAGAAGATTGTTGTCACTTGTAGTACACAACCAGTACTTACCTTTAGTGTTGCTGTAGGCCTTTTGGCAGCCTTTCAGACCAGTTTTCTTGTTTTTTCATAAATTTTGGAGAGGCATCCAGTAGTTGGTAATGTCACTTTTATGCTATATTTTCTCCATTTGTTGATGACTGTCTTCACTATGTTCCATGGTATATCCAATACCTTGGAAATGTTTTTGTACCCTTCTCCTGACTGAAACCTTCCAATTGTTGGAAGAAATTGGGCTCGCTTCTCCAGATGGGTGAACAAACGAGAGTGCTGCTGGAGCAAAATAGAGACATTAAGCTAGCTGTTGGAAAGGAAGTCCCTTTACTTATAGGTCAGAAGTGAAGTGACATAGCAGTTGGTTCTGGGACAACTGAAAAGTGGTCTGGAGAGTAGATGGGTTTTTATATGATTTGCGGGCTTTGTGATTTAGATGTCCAAGTTTGTTGCGAAATGAACTTTAATTGATACAAGAGTGTGTCTTTTAATATTCTAATTGTTGTTGCCTGACTCCTTTTGTGGTTTGAGAGGTCATGCCCCATCCTTGGAGCTGGGTGGGGAATGTAGATTTTAAGAAGGTGTGCACACTTAGGCAACTATGTTATTATATATATATATATATATATATATATATATATATATATATATATATATATATATATATATATATATATGTTTTCTGAGGTTTTCACAGGTGTTTGTATGTAGGTCTTTGGTCATTCGGGTTCTCTCCCGCGTAAAATTGGAAGTGTCCTGGCGATGTTTCGACGAAGTCACATTCGTCATCTTCAGGCTGGTGTCTTCAGCTTCGTGCTTCTGGGAGTAATAATAATATATATTATTTTTATCTTCCTCCAAAAGATTTCAGATTGTTTTTCAATTAAATTCTACAGGTTATATGTTATATTAAAGTGATTTATCTTGGTCTAATTTGTTTAAAATCTCAAAAACCTGCCATTTTAACAATGTAAACTATTAAAAGTTTGTAACAGCTGGGTGTAAAAGTTTTTATATCCATTGTAATTGTTGTTTGATGTGTGTAAATGTTGTATTTTTTATTTTACATCTCTATTTGTGATAAGATGACATATACTTCTTAGAAATAAATGAATTATCATAATAAAATAGACCTGGGAAACAAAAAGACAACATTTTTTTTGCCCTTATATAGTAAGACATATACGTAGTGGTAACCAATAGAAAAATAGGAAATGGGTCCCTTGTCAGTCAACAGGAGTGCTGATTTACCACTAACTTATCAGGTACTTAGGAGCCAAAGACTTGGCAGCACAGGGAAACAACAGCTAACACTTAATAGCCAGCCATCAACATCCCAATCAACAAATAAAAAGCTACACACAACCAGGCACCACATAAATACTATGCATAGAATAGCCCAAAGCACACATTCTGGTAGGCAGAAGTTCCCTGAGGATGCGCTCCAGCACAAGCATGAAAGTTTGGAAGATTAAACCTCTTGTCAGATTTGATCTGGTAACCAATAGATTTACACTGAACAGCTAAATACCATTTCTAAGTTATCAAAATTATGCTGATTTTTGTTCTTTTGCTATTAAAAATATTGTCAAATGTAATAGAATCTGTAGTTGACCTTGGGGGACAAGGGAAAGAAATGTTGCCTAGGAAACAGACAAGAGAAGTGGGAACCCCCAAGGGCTTAATGGTCAGAGGAAGAAATTTAGGAAGGACTGCCCTAATTGATCAGATGGTTAAAAGTGATGATACAAAGTTCATAGTGTCTGTTCATGTAGCCTTATGATAAATTAGTATTAACTCATCTAGTTGTGTTTCCTGTCTTTATCCAGGACACCTGACAAAAAAAATCAAATGGCATTTTTATTATTTTTGGCTTCTGTGTGAATATTGATTTTCAAAATCACTGATGATATTCTTTTAATACTGCAGTGTACAGATTCAAATTCAAAAGTGAGGAAAAGAACAAACACAGATTTGGAGACTGCCAAAAGAATTGACCCAGGAAACAATTCATTAACTCAGGGGCCCTTGGACATTATGCCCCGATCGCCTTCAGCTTCAAGTCCAAACCCGTTCAGCCGAATTAATATATCAGAAACACTGGCTTCTGCAAGAGCAACTCCTTCAGCTCCTCCATCCAGCCCAGTTTTAACTGGTTATATGGCCCAGCAGGGCATCATGGGATCTCCATCCATTCATCATTTACTTGGATCTAGACTGGAGGAGATTAAGACTACCACAAATGCTTTGGGAATGTCCACAAAATCCCCATGCCTCACTTCTCCTCCTGCTCCATCAGCCTGCAGCTCTGGCACCAGTAAGATAGACAAATATGCACGCATTTTGTTTCCTGTCACTTTTGGAGCATTTAACATGGTCTATTGGGTGGTTTATCTATCCAAGGACACCATGGAAAAATCAAAAAATCTAATCTAGTCCTGCTGCTATGTAGTAACTTCTTTTTCCCCCTGCAGTTTATTCTAAACATGTATGGATGCAGAGTTTCTTCTTTTAAAAGTATTTTTTTAAAAAGAGTCTTAATGCTGATTTTGTACAAAACATCTGTGCTCATTTTCCCATGGTGAAGGGCAGGTATTCTTAGATTATTTTAACTCAGCAAAACTTGGGGAGGCTATAAATAATGTCTTCCGGACTCTCTACAAAGGGCATTTTGTATAAACAAACTACATTGGGCCATTGGGAATAACAGACATGGGATATTAAAGTCAACTGCAGATGCATACAGATGTATGGCAAATGTTCTGTTTTTTCTAAATTTGTATACTGATAAGTAGATATCTATATTTTCAATACTTAACTTCGCCACATCAGTGTGAGTTGTGGCACCTGTCACTTGGATCTTCATCCAGATCTTTGTTAGTACAGGGCTTCCTTTAACAAATATATTGATAGAACAATCTCATACCTGTCTGTTCAAAACCTTAGGTCAATGGTTTTATTTCCCAGTAAATAAGCAAAGTACTGTGTTAGAATGATGACTAATTATGTGCTGTCAAATTGTTTTTGATTCCTAGCAACCATATAGATTTTCTGCATGAATTGTGTAAAAGAAGAAGCAAAGGAATCTTAAGTGATTGTATAAGCAGAAAGAATATGAATGTAATTATAAACTTAATATATGGGAATCTTTTGAGAATGAAAAGAATGATACTTAGGATGTGGTAGAAACGTTTTATGAAATTGTTTTATCTACTAATATATGGATTATTGTGTCCATGAACAGGGTTTTTTAAAAGAGGTGAAAAACTATGCAAACTATCGTTTGTTAATAGATGCTGAGTATGGTTTAGTCAAGGTTAAGTATTTGGAGAACATCTGCTAAAATATAAGATGTAAAAATGCTTAACTAGGATGAAACTAAATCTTTTCTTATCGAAGGGAATCGCCTGGGGACTTTACTGAGTAGATAGGATTTACATTACTATTTAAGAACTTTTTAAGTGTCTAAGCTGCCAGCCGATGAAACAAAACACTATGTGATATAATGAGTTCTCCTTCCTTAAAGGTAAGACTGGGATAGAGGACCTGGCTTGGAGTAGATGATTAATGTATATTCCAGCTCTATGATTCAAGTCCTTTATATAGGCCTTGAAATATTTACATCACACTTCCCCAACCCAATACTCCTCAAATCACAGAATCAAAGAATATGAATTGAAAGTTACTTTAGGAACATCTACTCCAGCCCTTGTTGCATTCCCACAATTCCCAGTCTATAAACAGGAGGTTGTACGGAAGTTGAAAACATCTGGAGTACTCAGACTGGAGAGGACCAAATGAAAGTAATGTTCTTAGACTTCCTTTTGGTTTTAGTTTGCAATTGCCAACATAATAGGTGCTTCTCTTGCTTGCCATGAATATCTTGCTACGTTCCTTTTTTCGTTTAGCCTGAATATAAAAATGGTGAATCATGTTGAGATCCCTGTTGCAAATTAAGTAGGCTTAGGGACATTTTAATGTAAAATCAGTTGACACATTAACCATTGTTGTGTTGAACCTGCTTCTTGTAGTTTTTTATCAAGACACACTGCAAACATTTATAACATTTTTACACAAAGATTACTGCAGTAATCTATGCAGATTATCGATCTGGGAGTAATCTAAATCTGGGACTAAATCATTGTGATAAACACAAATGAGTAGGTAGTAGAACCTCCATTGTTTCCAGGCATTAAAAATAATAATGGAGTCTTGCTGTCCTTTTCTAACCTTCAATCAAATGGTGGATAACCAATAGGCCTCTGCCAAATGACATCTGTAGTTTGTCTCTGTATCACTATTTGTCACCACCAAGTGGGAAATTTAAAAAAAAAAACCTAAAGAGAACTCCAGAAATATGTTCCTACTACCCCACAAAATAGAAATTCATGAATCTATTCCAGACAGCTGCCCTCCTTGCATCACAACCATTTGCTGCATCACTCTCTCCCACTTTGTGTTTGTGTGTGTATGTATGAGAGAGAGAGAGAGAGAGAGAGAGAGAGAGAGAGAGAGAGAGAGAGAGAGAGAGAGAGAGAGAGAGAGACTCCAGTCACCAACAGTTTGTTTCCCCCCCCCCTCCCATGAGGAGAACAGGGCTTATTTAGTTATATAATAGGAAAGCTACTACAGTGAACTCAGGGGATCTCTTCAAAGACATTATAATAATACACTCACAGGTGCAAACATTTTAGATCCAAATGTTAGTAATTCTAAAGACCTGTTTGGTCTGCAGGAAAAATGTTTTTTCTCCTGTTTCTGTTTGCTGCATCTTTTCTGTCCTTAATGGTTCTAATATCCTGGCTAGGAGTGTCCTCAGAATATGGTTAAGTCAAGATGGCATCTGCAATGGTGTGATCAGAGCTCTACCGGGTTTTTATATGTGTTCCATGTGTGACACAAACTGGAACATTGTTCACACATCACATCTAATTATATCATTGTAGATCTCATCTGGAGTTTTATGTGCATAGTCCTGCTATGGACTTAATTAACTGATTGCCACTGAATGTTGTCTTTATTCTTGTTTTTTAATATTCTGCCATAAAATATGGACTTAATCATTGTTTAATTCCAATAAAACATGAAAAGAAAAAGATTGGTAGATATTCTTCCATGCAAACAAAAATGGGCATATGACTAGTGTCTATCATGTTACTAAAACTGGCTTCAAAAGGCAGGTGTCCACATGTTGCATTAAGCATTATGCATAGATGAACATATTAGATATACACATCTCCTTTTCAAAGAGTTTACCAGTTCATAATTCAACTTTCATGCACAAAATAGGCACACACATGTTCATTTACATATGTCAAAGAAAACACATTCGTGCTATTTATGTCTTCCCCTTAGGATTCAAGAAACTCTAAAAACAAACAAAAGGATTTTGTCCATAGTTTTTAAGAGATATGGGTCCATTGAATATTAATTAATTACTATTAACAAATAATAAAATAAATAAAAACCAGTGCAGTTTAAGTAAACAATTACTTCTTCCAGCACCAGTTAATTTTGACAGGGAAGAAAATGATTCTCATGGTAAATCTTAAGCCCTTGCCCTAGGTACTTTTCAAAATGTATGAAATATAGATACAGAAAATACCTCCTTGAAATTATTGACATGAAGATATCAAGAGCAGAAAGACATTTAGATTGATATATTTTATAATTATAATTGAAACTATGATGTCACTTATCATTTTTGTAGAAATTGGTTGATCTCCCCATAATCAGCAAAGTGGAAAATAATAAGCCATTTTCATTTCTTTTTTTTCTGTTTAGTTTTTTTTTACAGTAATTCACAAGTGACCTTCATACATTTGTGATCGAGATGAACTTTCAAGCTTGGCAGCTGTGACCATTATTTCTCATACTGATGAAAGAAATAAAAACTACCAAGACAGAAAATAGATGCAGATTGCCAACCTTTTATCTCCCTTGTGTATCAGAAAGGTAGAAAGAAAAATCCAGAATTTTACAACCACAGATTGCATATATGTGAAAGTAAAATTATCTTATGTGAAAGTAAAATTTTGCTGAAATGATTGTGTTAATCAGAGCTGCTCCTTGAATTAAATCTGACAGTACTTTGTTGAAATCTCCCTCTTCTACTACTTAACCTTATATGATTCACAGTTGGTAAATATATCATTGTCGCAGTCAAGACACTGTGTCAGAATCCAGTTATATTCCATTTCTATCTATCTCCTCTGATCTAAAACCAAATCTCACCTTTCCCTGGATTCTGCCATACTTCCAAGGGGGAGGGGGATATGCATGTGGGTTTATTGCTTTCACTTCCTCTATTCGCTACTATGTAACCTTTTGTTTATTGACTCCATGTCTGCTATCCATTACAATGTAACAAATTGCCCCCTGCACTATGCATCTCTCTGAACCTTCTTTTCCCTAACCAGGCAGCTAGGAAAAGAAGGGGGGGAGAAGTACAAACCTCCGGGACCTGGCTTATTTCTCCCTTCTCAAAAGGAGGTGTGAAGAGCTATGGAACATCACACTACAAATGGAGCCAGATTGATGTTATCTCCCCTTTCCCACAATGGACTTAACACCTGGGGATTGGCTGGTCTGAATCATCTGGATGAACTGTGGGGTGGGGTTTGCTTAGGGACACTTTAAAGTAATTGATCTGTAAAGAAATCTCTCAGATCCTGTCTATTATGCCTGCTATCAACTACTCTTAATAAAAGTTTCTGTTGGAAGAAATTGTTTCCAAGAGTTCTGCTTCCTTAAGATGTCGGATTAAAGTGGGTCCTTACATTAGACAGGATCTGCAGTAATAGTCAACCTGGAAGGAAGAACCTTACCAGGGGACTTTGCAAAAAGTACAATGTCAGATGATGAGGCAGGGAAGGGAGAAAACCCCATAGAAAGGGAGCCTTCCCCCCGACCGGGATCCCGCCAGCTATTGGGATCCGAGAAGTCATACTCCTCAGGAGAGGAAGTGGTGGAAATGCACAACCCCAAACCTCGGTGGTCGATGGGCGTTGGCAAAAAAGACGAGTGGGAAAAGAGAACGAGAAAGGTGACCCTGAGACGGAGCAGCCACCAACCTAAATGGAAGCAAGAGATGGAGAAATCCCTGCATGTTAGCGAAGAAGAAAAAAGTTGTGCACAGCACTCGAACTGGATTCTAGAGAAAGCTATTGACCTGATGAAAAGAACCCTCGGCTCTCTAGGGGAGGAGAAACCTGAACCCCACGGCCACACCAACACCTGGAGCTGCAACTGGAGAGACACGGAGGGGGAATCAGAAACTGTAGTCCTGGGGACCTCCGCTGAAACAGCAGCTACCACTTCGGCAGCCCGCACTCCTCGCCGAACCGCAGATGGCAATCAGGATGGGAGACAATATCATCGGCGGTAAAGGCACCAATTCATCCAAAGATTCCCACCACTGGACGTGATATTCAGGG